ATGATATGATATGATATGATATGATATGATATGATATGATATGATATGATATGATATGATATGATATGATATGATATGATATGATATGATATGATATGATATGATATGATATGATATGATATGATATGATATGATATGATATGATATGATATGATATGATATGATATGATATGATATGATATGATATGATATGATATGATATGATATGATATGATATGATATGATATGATATGATATGATATGATATGATATGATATGATATGATATGATATGATATGATATGATATGATATGATATGATATGATATGATATGATATGATATGATATGATATGATATGATATGATATGATATGATATGATATGATATGATATGATATGATATGATATGATATGATATGATATGATATGATATGATATGATATGATATGATATGATATGATATGATATGATATGATATGACATGATATAATATAATATAATATAATATAATATAATATATGATATAATATAATATAATATAGTGTATGTTTACGGTTTTCATTCCGAATATGTAGGTATGTATATAGGTACATAATTTCATAAAGATGGCAGTTGAGCTTCGACGTATTGCATCGCCATCTATCAACTAATGCAAATAACATTAAGATCTGCAATGCGTCGAGAAGCGCGTTCGACGATAAAGATGTACATACATGCATCAAGCTTTTCTCTAATTCAAGGAAAAATATAAGACACGTTAAATAACTCTCATCATTGTTGGAAATAACAACGAAACAATTCTATGAAAGAATGCAACATGAAAATGTCACGACTAAAATAGATTAACCGCACAGAGTATGCAATTACTCAGTTCGGATGCCTATAGCGAACACGAAGCACGTGTAAAATTCTTTGTATTCTAAAACGGGCTTATGAGTCGTCAGACGGCCATGTTACGCAACAAAGAGTAAAATATCGCAAACAAATAAAGCACGTTTACTTCGCTTGATTTCGTTGGTCGTTTTTAGCAAATCGGACGATGCGAAGCTTAAGAACATGTTTAAGATTGTGAACATTCTAGAGTGAACTTCCTTTCGAGCATTATCTAATTAGCATTACTGATCGATACTATCGCATGTATTGTCTTATCTTCATTACAAATCGTCTTTCGTACGATTTATTTACTAACCTAATCTCTATGCGTTACTAATTGAGCCAACAATCCACGTACGGGAAGCATTCGCAAAGGAGACCTTACGTGTCGACGTATCCGTCATAGTCATAATAGCCCTCAACGCATTGTAATTCGTCTTTCAACCGAATCGATAAAGCTTAAAGGAAGCCTTGTACCTACGTTCCCCTGTCTCCTAACCTCACCCACGAAACATTGAATTGAAACATTAAAGTCACATATCGAGATCTGGATCGAACGATATCGCAAATTTAGAAATACAAACTTCGAACACCTTTATACACATTTCCACCTAAGATTTTATGCAATTCTTAATAGTATGTAGATAAATGTCGTAAATTGATCTCAGATCTCATGCGGAGATTAATGATTATTATTACCATTAGCATTATCGTATCATCGAAAGTAAGATATTTCTTTTTTGAACTTATCTACTATAATCAGTGTTTTTAAATTAAATATGCTAGTATTTTAAATATGTTTTTAAATATTTTAAATGTGATAAATACTTTGTTTAGTCTTTAGTCAAATTTCCACATACGATGCATGAATGTTAGTAAAATATATAAGTCAATAAATATATAAAGTAATATTTATCGTGTTCTTATAGAATTTTCAAATAACAGATCCGTTTAGAAATTTTCCCGCAGTATACTAAGATTAAATATTACATAGATATATTACGTACATACGATTCATCGATATATCTAATTCCTACTTGACATTCATTTAAAATGTTTAAATCCTTAATTTTTTTAGTATTCAAGTAGATGATAACAACAGTCTTTTCGTGACTTTAGACAAATCTTTTTATACAGTTTAGATCTTAAAAACTAGATAGTCTCTGGGGATAGACATTTTCCTCAGAATGCTTTGTTACAAATTTTCATATTTATTAGTTCTTTAAAATCAATTTTACCGTGTTTTAATAAGGAAATATTCTTATAATACAGAATATGCTGACTGTTTATCAACACACAGTTCATTACTTATGATTCTGTAATTAAATTATATCTTATCAAAAATAACTAATTGTAAATATGTGTATACTTTTGATCAGTAGTATAAGTACATACCTACTTACGTATATATGTATACACATATGTCGATTTTTATTCTTGACATCAAATGTTTTATTTATATTTTATGATTTAAACTAGTACATTTTTCTAATTTTATATTATAATATCAAATAAAAAATAAATTCACATCAAAAACTAATAACTAAAACATACACATTCTGTTAAGGCGAAATATTAATCAAAAAAATATCTGTAATCAACATAAAAATTGAGATAATTTCATTTATTGAACCTTAAGATTTGTTAATTAAAACAAAAATTTTGTGCAATTATTTCACGTTCTATGGATATCCTTTGTTGTTTTAAAAATAAGAAAAGACTCTGTTACGAAGATCTCTGTTCGTTGCCCTGACACTTAGTGATAGTAAGGTAATCTACACTTTAAAGAAGAAGAAGGTAAGGCCCTCCAAGTTTCTTGAAGCCAATGTATCACACCTTTCGTCACACAACTACGCAATAACTGTTTATGTTCAGGATCGTTCGTTACACTTGTTATTTACGAAAACTGTTTTACATGATTCGCATGTTTTACTCTTCTTAAAAAAAATTCTTAAAAAAAATAAATATTGAAAAATTAGCAAAGTTAGAAAACTAATTCTATCATATCTATAGACCTCTTACTGGTAATGAATTGTATCTCAAAAAAGACCTGCTACCGAGAATTTGAATCCTTAGGATTTCGATATTGAAGTAAATTCGTGCGACTATACATATCACTTCCTTAAAGACAGTTTCTGCCAATATTACTCAATATGTATTACCACAATATGTACCAGAACGAAAGAAATCAAATCTGAGTAGAAATTTATTTTCACTATTAGATACCATTACAAGTTCCCCATTTCAGCTACTTTGCATATTATTGTATATTATGTGCATTCTTTGCACACTTACACTTTTAAATTTCCCATAAATAAATAAAAATCTGCAGTATTTCACTGCAGAACATACTATAAAACTGCTTTAAAAGATAATAATATTGGTAAAAACATACGTAACATACATAAAATTGATTTATAAAGCACAGTTACTAATAAATTTCATTATATCATATATCGACATCAATAAATACGATTATATGTAATAATAGTAAAATAAAATAAAATTTTGTCTTAAACAATATTCTTTTCAAATTCTTTTTATACTAAGCATCTAACGAAGTAATAATTAACAATTAATAGTTACTTAAAGATTATTTCCAATACTTGAAAAGGAGAAAAGAATTACTATATAAATACAAATCGTTTGATCAAAGGGAAATGTAACTGAAAGACCGTTCTAACCCAGAGGGAAGGACTATGGAAAATAAAGAAATAAACTAAAATGCAAATCATTTTGTGAAATCACGCGTGAAGTAAGGAATCAATCCACCACACCTTACTATGATGTACACTACGCGAATATGTATAGTCGTGAACGACAATTTAAATAGTTAACAACGAACTATTTTCATCACATTTACTTTATCCTCATGCAATTTATTTCTTTTAAAAGATATAAGAAGCAAGAAAACAGCAGACCTTCACAAAATAAGCAACGTTTTTTCTCAGTTCTAACCGGAAACGAACATTATTATCGCTGCTGATAATTTCCTGCCTAAACGCAAGGAATTTAGATGAAAAGTATCATCGACTCGTAAACAACCTTGTGACCAACTATTTTTATGTATAAAAAGATATTTCATACTCCTTATTTAAGAAAATAAACGAACAATCATGTCGTAATTTGAAACTGTATCTTCAATTTCCGCGATTCTTCAATCACCGTCCATTTTCGCATATATATAAATATATATATTAATATGAATGTTTGTGAAAAAATAAAATCTATATTAATATAAAATACAATCTAATTAAATTAAATATGTATGTAAAGTTATTGTATGAAAATCAGAATTTAAACGATTTTGCTTAAGAATAACAATTATAAATGATCGAAATCATTTTGTTTATAAATAACCATCCTTCATGACGGAAATTGTTTTTAGTTACAAATCATCATTTTTGGCGATGAGAATATTTTTTGGTTAGTAATGAGTTACCAGAATGCCAGAAATCGCCAGAAATCTCCAGAAATCTCTTAGAAATTTAATAACCATTGTCTTAAAATTGCCTTAAAACTAAGAATTAACTTTTTCAAACTGATGTCTTCGTAAAAACTTTTTAGAATATATTTAGATATTTGTAACAGTATAGAAAAAAATTGCATAGGAAATAGAAATTTATCGATTTTATCTAATGACTATCAAATTTTATCAAACTATATGAATAAACAGTTCAGATAATTCAAAATTGGCTCACAATTACCTATACCTAGTTTACTAATTAGCACTAAAAACAAAAGGAACAATGATTACGAATAAACCAAAAGATTATTTTTTATAATAATATTTTCTCAACTACATTTCTATTATCCATTAATAAAGTGAGTAAGTTACGGTGTCACTGTCACTAGCATCAGCATATCGTTTCTCTTGTTCAATCTTCTATCTAATCTAGCTATCCCTAAGACGACTTTCCTCATAGATAAAACCTCTCATAACCAATGTATATAATATGTAGATACCTAGAACATCTAACAATAAGTCTTAGCATACCTTTCCTTTACTCCCCTAATATTTCCTACCGTGATACTAATACCATCATTAACAACCCACATGATCAGACAAAGCCTCATTTCTTGAAAAGATGTGATTGAATTTCCACAAAAAATTAAATATATAACTCGGAAGAAACAATTTCACTTACCTTTCTCTTTCTCTCCTGAACGAAATCTACCCTGCGAACCCAGACTTCCTCCGTCGAATCATAATCAAGAGTGCTAGAACTACTCGCTTGACTCTTCATTTCTATCAAACTGCTGTCGAAGAACCTTTTATCGAGATGAGGACTAGGCAGAGGACTGGTCCTCGAGAAAGTCATACTGGTCGAATAGGTCGGCGGGTCCGTGGCTGGGAAGGTCATCCCAGGGCCAGTGGTATGCCTTCTTCTTAGAGGAGGCTTCGTGGTGGACGTCGGTGAAGTAACCGTCGAGGTCGTAAACCTAGATGACGAGGTAGTTGTCGTAGCAGTCGTCGTCGATGTGATCGTCGAGGTAGTTGTCGAAGTTGTCGTCGTTGTCACCGAAGGGATGGTAGTTTGGGTATTCGGTTCGGATATACTGGGGGTAGGATTCGACTTTTGATCGATTTTCTCAGAGCTGGATTTCTCTGAAGTAGACGGACTAGAAGCTTTCGAAGAGTCACTATCGTTCTTTTCGTCCAACTCTTCCGTCTTCGCAACATCCTTCTTACTTTCACTAGCATTTTCCGCGGTCGATGCTTCCAAGTTTTTCACTGAAACACAAAAAAACGTATGTTAGCAACCACATACTATGAAGGATTATCGATGCCACTTGGCCTGACGTTGTTCAACTTTACGACAATTTTGCCCTCCTTCTTGTTAGTACGAATGTGCCCTATTTAGTATTTTTTCATTTTAAGAAAAACTAGAAAATCCTACGTGTTTCGTAGAAATCTAGAAACAGTCTAGAAACATGCGTCATTTATTAAGACAGGTTGAAGTTAAAATGCCAGTAAGACATTCTATTGTGATACATATGTTGGTATGACAGCTAAGTCTTCGGCAATCTTCAATTTTTAACGAATTTTTGTTTATTTTTCTTCAAATAAAAATTTTAAAAAACCGGAGCTTCAATCCATTTATATATTTAGAAAATTTTCATATAAAAATTTGTTAGCTATTCGCTAAAATGCGATAGGAGGCAACAGCGATCACTGAAATCTAAGGATAAACCTAACATCTAACGATACGATGTTCGCAGGTTTGCCTTGGAATGCATGATGGTCTCTTTGAGCATCTTCTGTAAAACAAATAATGCAGCACAAAACTCATTAAATTTTATAAACAAAAACAAATAGGACATATGTTTATATTCCTTTTTATTGTTTTCTAATATATAATCAATTTCTGTTGCGAGTGTATTTCGACTGTCACACTCTGTCCTATCACGACTGTCCTATCAAGAATAGGAACACTGTTCGTAGAAGAGGAGTATGAGGAATAGCACGAAACTTACCTCGCTACTTCTAAAATTAATGCATGCCAGACTGATTTGACTAAACTAGGTAATAATTTATGCATATGAAAATGACGTAAAATTTTCTAATAAGTACGAATTAACGGTGAACATTTCTGGTGGCGATCTCGTTGTCCAATTTTAATTACCGACAAAGTTGCTATTATTTGAGTCGGTCGCACTTGTAACACCCGCTCCTTTCACTGTTATAAAGTCTGATACCGAGCATTAAGCTGCGTGAATCGAGTCGACACACGCTCGTTTGCACAATTTGCCAGACTCTATCATGCAGCATCGTAACATGTCGCGTTGTACGTCGTCTGTTATTATATTTTTCTTCGCACTAATATCTATTCCCGTGGCTGACAAAACATGCATAATATTAACGGGCAGCGATATAATTCAAGAAAAACAACTATTAAACTTGTTCGGGCTGCCGATTTGAATAAAGAAAGAGAACGTGGAAGATTCGCAAGCACTTGGAACTATTACATCGTTGGAAACGTGGAATATTATGCTTCCGGGGGCACTCTATAAATAAACATCAGCTAAATGAAGTAACTGTTCGCATCTCTAGCTGTGTTCCATGAAGTGGGTAATTCGCAAACAGTAGACGCGTTGCTCTCGTATATCGCAAATAAAAAGTCGTTTCGATTGGTAGTCACGAGAAAAATAAATTAAATGAATGGAAAATGTAACGCGTTGTCATTAAACTTATCGACATGGTATATTTGATTGGTAAAAATTATTCTGAAATATAAAGCATCAATGATATTGACTGATTTTTAGTGGTAATGATAGCGATTAAAAGAAAAGTAAAGGTATGTATGTATAACGTTTCCCTTTTTGATAATAATAAATATAACATATCGTTATCGAAAAATAAAGTGTCTTTTTGCAGTGATAGTAAAAACGTTGCAAAACGAAACTAAACACAGTTAAACCTCTAGTCGCACGCTAATCTTAGTTCTCACTGAACGAGTACGAGCCCCTGTTAATAGCTCTTAGCGCGTTTTAATGCTCGAATCATGTTTCGTAACATGCTGCTTTCCTCGCAATCTTCCATAGACGCTGGCAATGGCTGCAAACGATCGGAGAGAATCAATCCGGTTCTTATAATGAAACATGTAACATTTTAAATCGTAGCGAAAGAAATCAGGAAAAATGAAATTAACTGCTGAAAAGTAATTATATCGAAAAATTAATTTTTCATTTTATTCACATATACCTAATTGACTTTGTTATGTCTTTAAAATAATATTCGGTTCAAACAGATTTTCAGATTTGAAGAAGATATGAAATAATCGTTCTTATATATACACACACACACAATTTTACACTGAAATTTTTTTCTTCAAACATTACAAATCTTTTTATTTGCTGGAACGAAAGAAAGATTGAGACATAAAGATTCGGTAATAAGATTAATTTGTTAAGGTCTTTTTTTAGCTTATGTACCTAATTTGTACAAAAATTTCTATAAAAAGATAACTAAATATAGGAATAAGATAAAATAATAGATATTCGCTGAATGTCTAACGATCTAAACTAAACAGCAGTTGTACAATATTGGGCATATATGGTGTATAAATGAATTTCTTTCTATCCCACTTCAAGGTACTTTAAACGCACGGGAATACATATTTTGTGTCGTGATTTAATGCAAAAACCAATATATTTATTATATATATAATATATATATTTATTTAAACAGCAGAAGTTTGTGTAGATTTATAACAAATTCTTCCTTTAATTTATTTACTTTTTTCTCCATAGTTAGGTATAGTAAAGTAAAGTAACTGTGCGCAAATAAAGCCAAACTGCTTTGTATATCACGAGTAAAGTTAACATTAAGATTGTAAAAATTTTTAACAAAATGTAATTTCTTACATGAAATAACATATTTTATTTGTATAAAAATATAATAGTACTTCGATAAAAATAATAAATGAAAGAAGATGTATGGAAGGCTTACTTACAACCTAATAATACCGATATGTTATCAACTTATGTAGGTATGTATATATGTCTCAGAAGAAAAAAATATCTAATTATATTGATACATTAATTGTTTACCGCTATATGATTACCATCTTATCGAAATTTATTCCTTATTAAGATCTTTCTTTCCAAATTGTATGCAAAAATGTAATTTATTAAATAACAAATACATCATAATGTAATTTTAACATTAATATGTTACTTAACCAGATTTTAGCTCTTTCCGTAATTACATAACGTTTTTACATAACGTTTGATATTCTAATATAACAAACGAGTTTGCATATTCTTTAAACAACTAATGAGGCAGCAGATAGGCATAAAATCAGATATATCATAACTTATGCATACAATAATTTTCTATCGATCATTTTTTTCCTGCGAATTAAAAGGCAACGAGTTCAGTATCATCGATACATTATGATACATTAAGATAGATATGAGATAACCAATGAAGTAATGAAATTTAAAAGAACAAGTTTTAACAACATTAATGCCAAATGATATGAAAAATGTTCCTGGCAAGATAACACGATTCAGCAGATTCTATGTAAACAAGAAAAATAAACGTTCTGGAAACATGTCAATGCGTGTGAAAAATTTGCATTGAAATATTAAAGATACTTATTCGAGAAAAATAAAAAATACGCTGCATTTCTTTGATATTTCGATCTTTTTGTTCTCTATGAAACAAGGCACTTGAATATTGTGAATTAAATAATATTTTCATTTACGCAATGAAAATTTTCGCTGACTTTCATGAACCATGAAATCTATCTATAGTAATAATCTATCCATCTAAATATATTTAAACAGATAATAGATTAAATAAGAATTTTAACTGCCAATAGTAACTACATTTTATTTGAATAAAACCCGTTTAAGTAATGCTATTATCAACTAACTTAATATTTGTTTTCCTTCCAAAATTTGACTTCATTTCTCTTTATGTAAAAGATTAGTAAATAAATAATTAACCCTTTTTCTCTTCTCTTATCTTTTACATTTTCAACGGTGAGAGCAGGATATATTAATTTTTTATAAGATCTTGAAATATCTCAATGAAAATTTGAATCGTAATTTATAGCTTATGATTATAAAGTTCAATTTAACTGAACATTACGGAAGCTTTGCATCGTGTGTTACTTTGGAACGAAATAACGACAGTGTTTATATTACCTGAGTTGAGTACTCCACAACTAGATCCCACAGTAGCAATTAACCGCTTCTCAACCATAGACGAGATATTTAAAAACAATATGTGTTCCTAAAACAATATGCTTTTCATCCGCTATGAGGTTTTGTGAATTAATATTTTTTCGAATTAGATCTCTCGTTCTGATAAATAAATATACGAGATATCTCGTTCATAGTAGCCCACCGTATAAACGATATAGTGTAGCGGGACAATACATCCGTGACATCCATACGATTTGTATACATCAATATGGATCCGTACGATCCATATTGCGTCACGACATATCTTGTCCATGGTTGGGAAGCGGTTAAGAGTTAAAAATGGTAGAACTTTAAAATAAATAAGAATTTATTTGTTCAATTATTTGTATAAATAAAACTTAGCATATTAACTAAATATTAGAATAATAATGATAATAAAATCTTTTTACACGCAAATTGAACATACCAAATAGTCATTGACAAAGAACTGTAATGTTAAACAAATCAGACAGTGCAAAGGACGACTTAAAGAAAGGGAAATAGTTACGGAGGAGATTAAAGAGAAAATGATGGAATGGTACAGGCAGCTAGAAAGAAAAAGAAAGGAGATGCAACGTTTAAGAAATAGAATATAAGGAACAATACTAAAGGAGGATAGTGCAATAAGAAGACGAAAGTAAAAGTACAAAGGGATGGGAGGGGGTATAAATATAGAGTTAGAAAAACAAAAATAGTACGGTATATTTACAGGTTATATTAATAGAATATAATTTGCTATAGCAAGTTGAAGTGGATAGTAACAAGGCCAAAGAGAAGCGAGAGAGGCGCAAGTGGGTGAAGTATGAGAAGGAGGATATTTTAAATAAGCTAGTATTGTAAAACTGAGACCATTTCTTGGCAACATGCCGAAATAAAGACATATATATACAACGTAAAGGACAAGATTCAGCAATAATAAGTATACACCTAACTTGCGATATTGTATATTGTAATATACAATAAATACTAATATTATGTATGTATATTATCTTTCTTACCGTCTTCATTTTCATATTCATCCTCTTCCCTGCACTCAGACAATCGTCTACCCCACGGATAAGGACTATGCGTTTGATTTCTTGATGGTAATCTGTTCACGTGAGAGAGGAAGTAATGATGAAAGAAACTATCCACACCATCTGACTCCTCTCCAGAAGATTGCAGCATATCCTTAAGAGCAGCTAAAGAGGTGATAGTATTATAATTGATAGCTGAAATCAAGTCATCCTCGATATCACTGTCATCCGTCGTGTCGTCGTTTTTCGTCGTTTGATCCGTTTTCTTGACTTCTGAAGTAACCGTCTTAGTTTGCTCGGTTTTCGAAGCCTCCGTCTTATCGTCTGAACTGGTTTCAGACTCGTCATCAGAAGTGCTGGTAGACGTTGTACTACTCGATGATTTCTCGTCTTTCTTCCCATCAGTTTTTTCCTCTTTGAGTTCGTCTTCGTCGGAGCCTTTACATTCGTCCACGTCGTCATCTTCGTCTTGAGAATCTTGAGACACAGCCTTTGATAATTTATTCGAAGCCTCGTCATTTTGACTGATATTCTCTAAATTCTTTAAATTCTTCAACGCCTCCTGCTCCTCTAAATCCTTACTTATCTTTACGTTAATGTCTTCTTGACCCGTCATTTTGTTCTGACGCTGATTATTGGCAGTCACATCACATTCGTCCGACTCGTTTTGCTTGTCTCCACCGGAACTCTCCATTGAGAAATCTGAAAGGTATAATTTTTCTTTAATATTCACTGTACCCAACTATAATTCTTAAATAATTATTGTCAGACGTGTAATTTCATTTCATAAAATTCCACGTGGTTTCGTTTTAACATTGTCGTTCCACAAATACACCATAGTATACTATTAAAACTACATTACTACTATACATTATATTTCAATAAAATCGTTATGCATCTTTCTGAAAATTATTGTCTTATTATCTATATAGATTGTCTTTTACGTGCATTATGTTTTCTTTATATAAGAAAAATGCCGTTTCTGTTATCAATGACTGATAGATAAAAATTCTTTTTACGGTTCAAGAAAGATTAGGAAATTCTAAAAAGAATCAAAATATGATTTGTAGATATCATGTCTTGAAATGTCTAAGAAAAATAATACATATATATATATATACACACACACACACACTTGGCTGTTATATCTCTGAATTTTTTGAAATTATAATTGAATTAAACGATAATTAAACATGCGCGTATGTATATAGTAATATTTGGTAAGAGCAACTGAAGACAAAATGAGCGTTACGTCTAATCCCTATACTCGCATAAATGGAATGATGATTTCTAGGCTGCAGATATTTATGCAAATTCATTAAAAGAATTTTAAATTTGGGCTAGAGACAGTTTCATCCACCAAATAACAGCTGCTATTCTTTGGATATTTTATGCATATCTATCTACATATATTTTCACATATTGCATGCATTTTATGCTTTTTACACTTTTAACTTTCTTATAAATACATAAAACTCTATAGTCTAGTGATATCAAATTTTTATTTCGACTTCTGCAGCAGAGAATATTATTTAAGTATCCCATAATACATATGTTTTAACCAAAGAAATAAAATATATTTGTGTTTGCATTTATATTTGCATGTATTCCGTTTTCTTTAATACAACTGCCAATCAAACAAATAATTTTTAGTTATTATATACCAGAAATATCCATTTTTTTCAAAAATTAGTCTATTAGTCTATTATCTAATGTTGAATTATTTTAATAGGAAAAAGTTTCGCGAAGCGCACCTATACATGTTTTAGAGTTATTTTAAGAGAGAAATAAACAAGTATGAAGTATGAAAATAACGAGAAATTATAAAGAAAAATTATCTTAAAAATTCAAGACTGTAGACCCCAAAGAAGTTGCCATTATGGTACATGAAAGACATTGCTGCAAGCAGTTAATGATGATGTATACTGTATGTGGTATATATTTACTTCGCTATTCATTGCGCGATTATTTCGTTCCTTAAATACTCTCCTAACGTACAAAAATCATTCACGACATTTTTGTAATTTTCCAGAATGGCAGGGGAACAGATTTTCAACGCGATGCGATTTATAATCGAAGCGATAATTACTAAGACACCGAAAAAAATTAAAAATAACTTATCAATCGATTAATCGTGTAATAATATGCTCGTAAGTCGATGTGTTAATCTATACTTATTCTCTCCTCGTATAACGTAAATATAATTATTCCTTTTATTAATATTCGTAAAACCTACAAATATTTTCTTTCTTCTTCTCATCTTTTTCCTTCCAAGAAGTACGAAATACAGAATGGTGTACGAAATATATTCCTTTCCATTTTTTTTCCTTTCACAACGTAACATTCACATTCGCAATACAAGGTAACGTAGCAAATAATCACGTCAGAATCGAAAATAATAGAATAGACGAATGTTCCCAAATAATAAAAGAACTAGAGTTCATAATGCAACGTAATGGAATATACGAAAGGATATACAAATTTTGTAATTGATCGACCATGTCTTTAGAATCGTGCTTTTATGTAAGTTTTAACGAGAAACAGAAAACAGAAATATCGCGATAACGTCTGAATAAAATCTTAACCACCATTTACAATTTATAAGATACATGCGCTTGCTCTTATTGGTCAACAGCAACAGCAACAGCAGGAGTAACGATGTTTTATAGATAGTCTATCCTGAAAGATTCCTTAAGAGACTTGCATCTGTTTCTTGTACAGTCATACAAAAAAATATTACAGAATTTTAATTGAAAATAGGTTGTATATCAAATATACAGCCGTAAGCTAACAATAATATTATTATTAATTATTAATTTTTTAAAGTTTGACACATATTATATACCTATGTATATTTATGTACATTTTAATACATTTTATGTTAGTCAAGTGAACATTACAATTATATAAAAATTCGTTTTAAGAATATACCAATATTTTGAACGAATTTTGACTTGTTCAAATAAAAAAAATTAACGAAAAAGCATTAATTCAGCGATTCGATGGAACGAATCCCGTTTACCTCTGCGATTTTCAAAAATCATTCAGCTTTGCTTTTTTTACTATGTCATAATTTTTATTCGTTATGCGTGTTGAACGAGAACTACGTTTGCCACTTGAAACCTTAGGCCTAGAGTCTTAGAGGAAGAAACAAAAATGGCCGTTGACCCAAATAACTTGATTGATTAAATGCAATAAGCTGGTAAGCTCTGTTTTCGAATCTTTGGTTCAACAATTCGATCGTTTCTTTTCCTCTCTTTCGATCAATTTTTTCGTGTTTGGTTTTCTTCGTGAAAAATTCCGAACAGTCTACCGAACCGGAATAAACCTAACATATATCTATTTAAATTCGTACGTTAGAATGATTAACGTCGAAATTACCAACAAAGTGCAAATTAAGAAAATTCTTTTTCGAATATTATTTTCCTTTTTCTTTACTTTTTTTTTTCTTTTTTAAGAAGTAAAAGACGCTTTATTGCATCTGTGAACACGTCACTGGCGCATTGCGGTAAGTACGCCCTCTATTTCGTAACCGTGGTAACGTTTGTCTGTATACTAAGTTTTACTATAGATACAGATTGTACATTGTACAGCAACCTGGTTCTTCACCATACCCGCTAGGAAAAGCAAGTAAATCACAGTATGTATGTAATGTACCTATATGACACGACGCGGCGCGGCGTGGCGTAACAAGCAACAAGACTAACGTATAGCTACACCACCAATTATTTTTATCAATGAACTTTTCCCGTACTCCCACGTATCAACCGAAAATTCAAAATAAAGAAAGAAATGCGGTCGAATACGAAGCAAAATCAGTTTGAAAGTAATGTTTGATATAATTTTCAGAAAATTATTACGCACAAACAAACGTCAATAAACTGATAACTCATTCAACGAAATCGAATATATCGCACATAAGGTTAAATTAACAAACTTTGATAACAGTCGCATTCGATCTTAAATACATAACTTGCGACGAAGTAATCTTAAACTGTAATGAATCGTATGATTAATAAGACATAATGATTTTTAAAGTGAAAAGTATTACGTGAAATACTTGCATCTATCACAGTGATTATAGGAACAATCAAAAATACAATTTAAAAATATTGAATGTATCGCATCTTTTATATTACATAAGCCTACGATAACATAAGAGCGTTTCTAATTTCTGGAAAATTCAGATTGAAATTTATTCATCGATAAATTAGAGCTGGTAATAATTAATTATCCTTTTTAATTATTATTAATGTATATTATAATTTATAAATATCATGGCACTATAGTATTTGTAGTAATTCTACAAATTTCAGTTTTAAACAATTTAGAACTTATATATAGTAATCTTTTATACAGTAACATATATTTGATAATATATAATTACGTGAACGTTTCTGTTTTAAATCTTTACGTATTATGTACGTGTACGTAAAATAGTAAATATACACTCGAGTGTGTCTCGCAACTATAAAATCACACAAAAACTTTCAATTTTTATGGGCAATGTACCGAATGTCTAGCTGGACAAATTGTAAGGTGTAAATTAAATGATAAAAAAAAATTTCGTGGGTCGTGTTAGATATTTTTACGTTTACATGTTAACGTGATAAAGGACGACGTACATGCGTCATATTTGAAATGATATTGAGAAATAATTTATCCTTTTCTTTCCCCAAAAAGAAAGGAAAGCAGCAGAGAACTGTTCTAATTTATTCCTGTCCTATGTAACAGAATATTTTGTCATAGATAAACAGCGCTCGATGTACAATGGTTGCAATGTTGCAAGGCTACTCCCTGTCCTTCACTGATTTCGATAATTTTTTAATATGTGTTGGCAGCATGATTCTGAACAACTTTTTCTTATACATGTAGCCGTCGTGTCAGTCAGTCCTAGTTTCCGAGATATTCGCAGAATACTACACATTGATACACTGGTACTATACACTGCAACTACACATTGAATCCTGCCCATATATCTCTAACACAGTCACAAGCATAGCCGACACGTTCACTTCGTCCGCCGCTTGATGATCTGTTTACATCCATCAGCTATCGATCTCTTTATCTTTGTATCGTAACTATCAAAAGATCGGTTTGTTTGCGACGTTCGTTATTAATTAATTTGTTATTATTTTACACAAACGTTACCGACTGAATTACAAAAGCTAATCCAAACCAATAATACATTACTAATACATTAATGATATACATTTTTAATTAAGTTAACTAATAGACATTTCTTACAGCCCCGCATATGGAGTTGTGCACGAGACTTTCACCCGAGAGATCGATGGAATTAGTGAAATGTGAAATAAAATCGTCCCGTGCCTATCCAAGTGTTTACATATACTATAAACTAGTCCTCGTTTATATATACTATAAACTATAAACAAAAGGTAAGAGTTAGGTTTTGTTTAGATTAGGTCATTGTATCTGGTACAATTATACCGATACAGTACACTATACCGACACCGACACTTTTTTGCATACATCTTGGAAACTAAGGTCGTTTGACATAACGGAAAATTACTTATATGTATACAGGAAAATGTTGTCCAAAATGTTGACATCTACAACTTATTAAAAAATCATCGAAGTCGGTGAGATGGATGAGATATATCGATAATTAGTAAAAACGTTTCACAACATTATTTTTAATCGACAAATCACTACGAAACCTTCAAACCACCTATTATCTG